TTCTTATGCGTGGATCATGGAAGATGGGGGAAACAATGGAAAGTGGTCGCATACCCGCCCTCCAGAACGACGGTTTTCAGTCGTTGTTACGCGAGAGCTCGTTATACGACGACTGTATACCATTACCATTACTAACGTGGTTCCCCTGAAGTACAGGAAGTGGCCGAAAGATGAGGGGATAGTTACGGAACACCTGACCTGTATTTTTCATCGAGTGTACCGTTACATTAGAGAGTTTGTCTCTGCGTATCCTCTAGTTTGTGTGGTATTCAGCGTTTATGTAACGTGAAGGCAAGATAAGCTGGGGTCGTAATAATAATAATAATAATAATAATAATAATAATAATAATAATAATAATAATAATAATAATAATAATAATAATAATAATAATAATAATAATAATAATAATAATAGTCAGGGTTTCACATCCCGTAAATACGATATGATTATCCGTGTTGCCGTAGTGGAGGGCTCCCGAAATTTTGATCATGTTCTTTAACGCTCAGCTAAATAGAATATAGGCACGTCTGCCGCCGTGGTGTAGCAGTAATGGTGCTCGGCTGCTGATACGAAGGTCACGGGTTCGATTCCGGCTGCGGAGGTCGCATTTAGATGGAGGTGAAAGGCTGGAGGCCCCTGTACTGTCAATCCACGTCGAAGAACACCGGACGATCAGTTTCCGGAGCACTCTACTCTCTCATAATCATAAATAAACTGACGAGCGCCGTGCTTTTTATGGAGACACACGCACTAAGTTAAGCTGGCTGCCGGCAACTTGTCATCGAAAGCGTGACTACTATTAGTTCATTTACGAAGTTTACGTGCCGAAGCATCCACGTCATTATGAAACACGCCACAGATTCTGATCAAACGGATACTCCTACGGGCGCCCCTGAATGCAAGTACAAAGGTAATCTTAAATTTCGATGTGGCCGCCATGAATGGAAGTCGAACCTGTGCCCTCCAAGCTAGACGCTCAACATTTTATGTGTCAAGCTACTATATGGTGGGTAGCGTGGGTTTTGCGTTGGTGCACTTAGATATTGATATAAGAAATCGTAAAACTGCGCCCAACAGCCGCATGCACGCTAATAGATGATCGGTGTTTTAAGAGTTTGTTTTTATAGAAATTCATATGGCATTTTACGGAATTAATTCTTTGGTGGAATTCCAGTCTTAAGTGCAGTTAATTTTGCGTAAGTCCACAATTCTCAAAAATTCTCGGTTTGATTTTGCGTTATTCTGAATACTCCAATGTCTTGGCTAAAAGTATATTTGATCATGGAAATATTGGAGCACAAGAAGCGTCGTTTGTCTGAATGGTAGGAACATATGACACATATACTCACAAGCACGGACAGACAGACTAGCACAAAGACGGACAGGTAGGCGGACACGTAAAGCGGCTATGAGCCACAGGGTATGCGAGACGGCGGTACTCAGAGTGTTCACTAGATGGACTCACGGACGGACGCATGGACGGACGGACAGACAGACTAGCAGATGGACGGACGGATAGATGGACGCGTAAAGCGGGTATGTGCCTTATGGTATACGAGATGCGAGATGGCGGTACTCAGAGTGTTCACTATCTGGACGCATGGACGGACGCATGGACAGACAAACAGACAGACAGACTAGCAGACGGACGGATAGGTAGACGGAAATATTGGAGCACAAGAAGCGTTGTTTGTCTGAATGGTAGGAACATATGACACACGTACTCACAAGCACGCATATTTGAATATCGAACACCTACGTTTGTGCGTATCACAATTGCCTTAAAGCTTGTTGTAATAGACGCAGCCCACTTGACAAGCTCCGGCCACGGTGTTAAGCAAGGGACCGTATATCAAGATGTCCTCGCACGCTTCCTGGGGCCTGACATAGGTTGACATCTCTCGCGTGACAAGCCCTTTGTTAAATGCGTGATGGCTGTGGTCTTCTGTGAGATACTGAATACGCGAGGCAAATTTTTCATTGGCCGGCCGATGCATCAATAACCGCTTAGAACACGGCACCAACTATGAGTAAGCGCGAGAGACAAGGGCGTAGAAGAAAACCGACATGGACATACCATTTCGATAAAGAGCGACGTACACTCTTATTAACGCGATAACGTTAAAGAACTCGTTTCGCAGAAATTGCGGCGTTGGATTCGTTGGTTGTGAACAAAAAAAAAAAGACCATCTTGTGCGTGAACGAAAAATCAAGACAGATGCAAATGAGAAATTTCGAGTCTGAGTGGGGATGGAACCCGAGTTGTCCGCGTGGCAAGTGGGTATTCTACCACAATCCACGTGTCTGCTTGTGAATGCAGTGAAAATAACTTCCTCTGCTTGCAAATGCAGTGAAAATAACTTCCTCTGCTTGCGATTGCAGTGAAAATAACTTCTGGCGAATGCAGTGAAAATAACTGCTTCTGCTTGCGATTGCAGTGAAAATAACTTTCTATGCTTGCGAATGCAGTCAAAATAACTTCCCCTGCTTGTGAATGCCATGAAAATAACTTCCTCTGCTTGCGAATGCAGTGAAAATAACTTCCCCTGCTTGCGATTGCAGTGAAAATAACTTCTGGCGAATGCAGTGAAAATAACTACCTCTGCTTGCGATTGCAGTGAAAATAACTTTCTATGCTTGCGAATGCAGTGAAAATAACTTCCCCTGCTTGTGAATGCCGTCAAAATAGCTTCCTCTGCTTGCGAATGCAGTGAAATTAACTTCCTCTGCTTGCGATTGCAGTGAAAATAACTTCTGGCGAATGCAGTGAAAATAACTACCTCTGCTTGCGATTGCAGTGAAAATAACTTTCTATGCTTGCGAATGCAGTGAAAATAACTTCCCCTGCTTGTGAATGCCATGAAAATAACTTCCTCTGCTTGCGAATGCAGTGAAAATAACTTCCCCTGCTTGTGAATGCCGTCAAAATAGCTTCCTCTGCTTGCGAATGCAGTGAAATTAACTTCCTCTGCTGGCAAATCCAGTGAAAATAACTTGCATGCTTCACAAAAACACGCGTCCTGTATACACGCTTCACAATACAACATGAAATATTGCAGTAATATTGCGCGGTTGAAGCTTAAATTGCCATCGGGCGTCAGAACATGTGATTATCATGACTACTTCATGGTTTAAAGCTGGTCACTCACTACAAAAGGCACACACCTTACTGCGCGTATTCGCGTAAGTCCACGTAGTGGGTGCATGACAAATTCGAAAAGATTTCGTGCGCTAAGTGTTTGAAGTATGCACTAGGGACAGGATATCGCTATTGCGTTCAACTCTCAAAGGCAAAGCTTAAGGATTTCCTCATTTTTACCGCTAAAATGAGAGCTTAACAGATGAAACCAGTTTTTAGAGGATTTACCAGAGGTGTTATGGGATTTTTTCGGGTTTACCTGAAAACACGGATCCCTATTAATAATGAACGCCAGGTCGGAGCTTTACCAGAGTGCACTCGCATCGCCCGAGGCAAGAGCACTACTTTTTTTTTTTATTTAGTAGCCGGAGGCACTTATGACATATGTATGAATGAACTTTGCATTGCCCGGAAGCCATTGGTTAACTTCAGCATCACGCAGCATAGGGTGAGTGCTTATCGTTGCTTGAAAAGCGTGGCCCGAGCCATCCTTATCCACAAAGCCTATCACGGCGGATAAAAGTCATGCGGGCCTTGGAAGTTGCAATCGAACGAGACAATCTGAGGGGGAATTCTACGCGTTGGAACGAGACTGTGCAGGCCTCGTTGCTGTTCAGGCCTGTATTGAGCAAGGTCTCGTACTCGCGTTGCCCAATTTCTTGTTTAAAGCGAAGCTTTTATGAGATCAAGGTTTCGGTGGGAGTTGCGGCATAGTTTGCGAAAAACACAGACGCCATTGAGCCTACAGAAAAGCGGGAGCATAGAAATACTGCCCTCGAACGTGCATTGGTCACATACACCTATAAAAACGTATACTAAGACGAGTTTTTGAGGATCCGTGGTGGTGCTTGTAAGCGTATTTGTATGCGAAGTTTTTCAATAATTGATGCTCTGTTGATCATAGTCTTATCGCCGATCAACTGTTTATGATTTGGCAATCCTATTTTTTATCGAGGTCACTCGTACTTTAACGTTGCCATTATTCAGTTTTATTTGAATATCTGAAGTTTAGCGTCCCAAAACTATGATATGATCTCGAGAGACGCTGTAGTGGAGGACTCCAGAAATTTTGACCAGCTGGAGTTCCTTAGCATGCACATATATCTAAGTGCACGGGCCTCAAATATTTTTGCCTTCATCGAAAATGCAGCTGCCGCGGCCGGGAGTTTGGAGTTGAGTGTCATAACCACTTGACCTCCATGGCGGGGGACGTTGCCATAATTCATTGTTGCCTTTCACAGTCGCATCTCATTGTTTCATAGCCCCGTCGTGGTGGTCTAGTGGTTATGGCAGTCGACTACTGACTCCCGGCCGCGGCTGCTGGAGGCGAAAATATTTGATGCCAGTGTACTTAGACATAAGTGCACGACCCCAGGTGGTCAAAAATTCTGGAGCCCTCCATTATATACGGCGTCTCTCATAATCTTATAGGGATCTTGGAACGTTAAACTCCAGATACACCAACGTATTACTTGCTTATATAACACTAGTGGTTTGCTGCAAAGCACTTTGATGGTGCTCTAATTGATGGTATACATGATGGAAAGAGTTAGAAGGGAGCATTGCGCAAAGAGAAAGAAAGAAAGAAAGAAAGAAAGAAAGAAAGAAAGAAAGAAAGAAAGAAAGAAAGAAAGAAAGAAAGAAAGAAAGGCAGTACGTCAGACATCCACAGTTGAAGCTCGTTTGCCCGACATTCCCGATAGGGCACGGAGTCCTCTATTCTTGAGTATAACCAGAGAATAAAAGTGTGACGACTACTTTTTCCCGCACCACGCGTGCACCGGACTGATGCACGGTTCTACTTTAGTATAAACTCTCTTCTTTGCAAGCGCGGTGGCAGCGGATCATGTATGACCTCACCTGGAGAGATGCTCGAGGCACCCATCTCAAGGGGCTTGGCGTTCCTGTCGGTGGAGCCGCTGGTTCGCCGCGGCGGTGTCCGGCCCGTCGTCTCCTGGGCAGTTTCCGAATGGTTCAGCATCAGCATCGGCACGCACTCTTCCCCATTGCCTGCGCCACAGAAGGGCTAACGTTGGTGCTACACGCGTACACACAGAACTCGTCCCACTGGATTAGAATAAAAAGCCCTTAAAGGGGTACTGACACAAAAACTTTGGCCTCGCATTGTTTCTGCGGCAATGCGTTGCTGGGGGTCTGTTAGTCATGACACGACACATCGTTTGCTTTAGCCCGCGACAGATAAATAATTACAGGCCCCTCATTATCGATCAGTTTCAGTTTCGGTTTGAGAGAGTTTCAAAAACTGGGTGCAACTGTCGCCACCTAGCGTGCGCAACTCTTGACCACGTCAGCACACAAAACTGTGACGCACTTCCGCACGGTTTGCATCAAGAAATACCTCCCAATAGGAAACGGGACTGGAATGTCGCCGAACACAAAACTTTCTAAGCGTGCGCCACGGCCACGCACTTGCAACCAGCCGCCGAGAAATATAGACTTCGGGAACTAACGCGGCAAAAGAAAAATCGCGGCTATGACATCATCAAAACTTGTTTTGTTGACCGCAGCGTGGTGACGGGAGGGAAGTAGGTGGTCACCTGGGGGTCACCTCCGAGGGTGTCTATAGTGCTATGGGGTCTGGTCGCTCACGCAAACTTCAAAATTAATTTAAAATATTTTCCAAGCTATATTCGCTGTTGATATTTTGCACGTGATATACGAATGTTCACAAGAATCGACCCCGCTGGCTATCTCGGCCCCGAAATTTTGTGTCAGTACTTTTTAACATCCACCAGGGTGCCAATGAAAGTTCAGGGGCACTACACTTCGTTGAATACATCAGGTGCAACAAAGATCGGATTTCGGAGTGGAAGCTTTCGCATGGTATCACCGGTGAAGGTGAAATTACACTTTGCAAATGAATTGTCTGATAATGCCTTTAGATCCGAAGTTGTGTCCCTTGTCCTTTGTCTTTTGGCTAGACGAGATTTACTTGGGCCATGATTGGTGTTGCATGTGCTTTGCGCGCTGATGCACTTGTCGAACATTTCTGAGGGACACTTGTCTTAACGCAATGCTTTAATTGTGTATACGTTGTATGCGCTTCGTGCGTGTTACGCGTCTGTTACACATACCAGGAGTTCAGCACTTTTGTTTCCATCGCACTTGCCTGAAGTAGCATGCTAGGGGCGTAACCAGACGAATTGCTCTAGAGACATTAAATAACATGCTCGTAATGCTACACTGCCTTCACTGTTCTCTGAATGCTGGGACCTCTCTGATGCTGTGACAAAGCATTGCCATTTAAAATTGCCCCTTGTTTACTTGAGCATTGAGAAAGAGGTACCTAATGACAGTGCTTTTAAATGGAGGGCCGGTCTGGCAGGGGGGGGGGGGGGGGGGGGGAGGGTCTTTTAAGTCGAGAGCAAGCTACAGCAGCATAAAAACAATCAGCATTATTCATCTGTCGCTCACTTCACAGCTTTCTGGAGGTATTTTGCCGATTATTTACTGCGAAAGTCTCGCGTTATCTTGAAGCATAAATAGCCAATATTCATATGGCTCAAAACACAGCCAAGAGGCCCGCATAAAAAGGTTTTAAACTATAAATTTCACTCGCACGTGTGTAGGCAGTATATCATGGGTTGGTGGGTAGATGTATCAACATTTCTTTGGGTCGCACGTGCAGCGCATGTAGGCACGTAGTGACATAAAAAAACACACACACATGCACACGAGCGTGACTAGATTAAAATAAATTCTGAATTGTTATTCCGCACAAGCATGTTATAGTAGCGTATTTTTTGGTCCTTGTCACCCTACACAATGTGTGTAGCGGTGCAAGAAAGTATACTTATCGTTCGTCGCGAGTAAAGTGTATGAGAATTGTGTGACACGCAAGAATACTTTCGCCGATTTCCCGTCTCCGCTCGCTGTAAACAACTCGCTAAGCAAGAGAAAAGCGCGGCAGCGTTTGTAACTTGGGAAAAAAAAATGTCTTAGCTGAGGCTCTTTCATCTTTCTTTGCAACTGCGTCTGAGTTTGCGTTTGTGTGTGGCCGATTGTGCGGGCGTTTCCACGTGGGCACGAGAAATTCATACAGCCGAATGCATTGTTGTGCCTGTCGCATCTACGGCTGAATATAGCGTGCGACAACATTTCTCGATGTCTTCGTTTGAAGCCGCCCTGTCGTCTTTCATCGCACACGAGATGCGGGACGACAACGCAGTAGACGCTATAAAGGAAGACGGAACGCCCAGATACAATGCACAAATTCAAACGACACGCAAAAGCAAGCGAGTGATTCAGTGGTGTACACAACTATACGCTACACGTACACAACCGTGGTGGATTTAACCGCACCATTCGTGAAATCAAAATGGTGAAGCGAGGTAGTTGGTTGCTACCTCTGGTGTTCATGTTTGCAGCGTAGATTTGAAAAACTCTGCCACAGCCTGAAAAATGGCACAGTTAAGTCTACTTAATTTTGTAAGATTAACAACACGAGATGCACTCTCTCTCTCTCTCTCTTATATGTGACATATAGAGAATTGATTGATTGATTTGATTTGTGGGGTTTAACGTCCCAAAACCACCATATGATTATGAGAGACGCCGTAGTGGAGGGCTCCGGAAATTTTGACCACCTGGGGTTCTTTAACGTGCACCCAAATCTGAGCACACGGGCCTCGACATTTCCGCCTCCATCGGAAATGCAGCCGCCGCAGCCGGGATTTGAACCCGCGACCTGCGGGACAGCAGCCGAGTACCTTAGCCACTAGACCACCGCGGCGGGGCTGTGAAATATAGAGAAAGAGAGAGAGACAAAGAAAGGAAACAATGACGAACGAAGAGCAGGGAGGTTAACAATGTTGCATTCGTTTTCTTTCCCTGAACGGGGGGGGGGGGGGGGGGAGAAGGACAGTGAAAGAATAAGGAAATGAGGACGAAAAAAAAAGAGACGAAAAAAAAAAGAACTACAGTTCGCTCGCACGCGAAGCAGCGGTAACCACACATACGCAGGTCTTAAAGTACGAAATGTCACAGAGCACGCTTCAATTTCGACTGTCTTAGACGAAGTAGACTGCGCTCTATCATGTTAAGTGGCGTATGATTAATTGTCAGTGGATATGGGCAGAGTACGTTACATACAGTGTGCTCACAATAATTACCGCAAATAGAGCCCGTGTAGAGATAACTTTTCTAAGCCCTTATATATGACAAGACTATGAGGTGTGCACGGGACTTATAAATATCATTGGGTTTTCCACAATCATGAAATTCAAATAAGAAACGTCAGGCCTGCGTGGAAGGCGCAGCACAGTCACAGCGAAAGCTGGAAGAGCGGCCTATCAGAGCCCTTTTCAAAACACGTTTTTGGGTAACTGGAACAAACACACTTGCTGGGTACCCACTACGCCATAAACAATCATAATTTTTTTTTTGTAGTAGGCCGGGATTCACTATGCTAACCTTCGTCCTTCTTCGAAGAAGCATGATATCCACTATACATTTGCAAGGAAGTTTGTGCAAATACAGTGGCTGAACGAAGATGAAAAATTATGGCTGAAGCGGTTATGCGCCAGACTTGATGGGTGATGAAGAACAAGTTTTTGTAATGGTTTGTAGCATTAGACGACCCACTCATTAGGCAATTCGCAGTGTGCCCCGCCACGGTGGTCTAGTGGCTAAGGTACTCGGCTGCTGACCCGCAGGTCGCGCCCGGCTGTGGCGGCTGCATTTCCGATGGAGGCGGAATTGTTGCTGGCTCGTGTACTCTGATTTGGGTGCACGTTAAAGAACCCCAGGTGGTAAAAATTTCCGGAGCCCTCCACTACGGCGTCTCTCATAATCAAATAGTAGTTTCGGGACGTTAAACCCCATAAATCAATCAGCAATTCGCATTGTGTGACGCCTGGTTGTTCCTTTGCTGTTCTAAAATCCTTTATTACTCTTACTAGCGCGATTCCTTTCTAGACATCAAGCCTGCCTAAGGCAAGTATGCGAACAAGTACCAAGCACCGGCATGGCTAAGTAGCAGAATACTGGCTGGCAGGCAGCGGACCCGGGCTCGAGCCCCACTGTGTCCTTGATACTAGGTTTATTTTCCTTATTTATTGCGATGTGGTTACGTACACCGGCGGCGGCGGCGGCGGACAACTACGGCGTCACGCGTGACCTGAGTTGTCGTCTCATTATAGCTTTCGCTGTAAAACTGTACTGTGGGGTTGTTACGCCTCATTGTTGCTTGTCAGCCTACGCATTGTTACTGAGACAACTCTCCCTTCACGAGACGCACTGTCGCTGTTACGGTGCGGCACTTACTTCTTCATTTTAGGGGCGAAGCTCCCAAAGCCGTAGGTTCGTCCTTCTACTGTGACCGGTTCGTGACCGCCCCGCCTAGTTAGTGGATGGCTCAGCAGGTGGTGCTAGTGTGAATGACTGACAGACAGACGGACGGACGGACGGACAGACAGACAGACAGACAGACAGACAGACAGACAGACAGACAGACAGACAGACAGACAGACAGACAGACAGACAGACAGACGCAAGGATGGACACATGGACAGACAGACGGGTAGACGGACGGACGGATGGACGGATTCACGGTTTACATATGAAACCCTCCGAAGCTTGTCCCCACTCATCATCATTCACCCCGTTGATATACCACGTTGTTTTTTTCAAAACCGCTTGACTCTTAGACGGGGAGCAGCAAAAGCAGAACAAGTGGCAAAGGGGGACCGCTACCAAACTGCCTTACCGCGTATTTCCGTCCCACATTTCCGTAACCTGCTGAAACTCACTGTTCGCGTAAGCGGACCGGCGTTGAGAAGACATACCGTCGCACTCTGTTTTCGACACTTGAGCACGTTCACTGCAGAGACTGCGCTCACGTACAAACAGCAGATCGATGCATTTTTGCGAGCGAGGGCACGCGGCCTGCGCGTTCCGAGCTCATGGAGAAGCGCGCCCGCACGACGCGTTGCGTGTGTTGCGTGGGTGCGATACAGAGAAGCCGACAATACAGAAAAACAATATCCAGA